CTTAGATTATTTTGAGAGTCTTAAATAGCATGGTAATTTGCTTAAAATCCTAATATGCTTGGTATGCAAGATTAATAATAAAAATTCTCTTATGAGTGTGTTGAATACTATGATAAGTTTGATACTTGATAATTGTTTTGAGACGCGGAGATGGTGATATTAAAGTCATGCTAGTTGAGTAGTTGTGAATTTGAGTAATATTTGTGTTGAAGCTTGTGATTCCCGTAGCATGCATGTATGGTGAACCGTTATGTGTTGAAGTTGGAGCATGATTTATTTATTGATTGTCTTCCTTATGAGTCGCGGTCGGGGACGAGCGATGGTCTTTTCCTACCAATCTATCCCCCTAGGAGCATGCGCGTAATACTTTGCTTCGATAATTTGTAGATTTTTGCAATAAGTATATGAGTTCTTTATGACTAATGTTGAGTCCATGGATTATACACACTCTCACCCTTCCACCTTTGCTAGCCTCTCTAATACCGCGCACCTTTCGCCGGTATCATACATCCACCATATACCTTCCTCAAAACAGCCATCATACCTACGTATTATGGCATTTCCATAGCCATTCCGAGATATATTGCCATGCAACTTTCCACCATTCCGATTATGACACACTCCATCATTGTCATATTGCCTAGCATGATCATGTAGTTGACATAGTATTTGTGGCAAAGCCACCATTCATAATTTTTTCATACTTGTCACTCATGCATCATTGCATATCCCGGTACACCGCCGGAGGCATTCATATAGAGTCATATTTTGTTCTAAGTATCGATTTGTAATTGTTGAGTTGTAAGAAAAATAAAAGTGTGATGATCATCATTATTAGAGCATTGTCCCAAGTGAGGAAAGGATGATGGAGACTATGATTCCCCCACAAGTCGGGATGAGACTCCGGACGAAAAATAAAAAAAGAGAAAGAAAAGAGGTCATAAAAAAAGAGAAAAGGCCCAAATAAAAAAAGGAAAAGAAAAAAATGAGAGAAAAAGAGAGAAGGGACAATGTTACTATCCTTTTACCACACTTGTGCTTCAAAGTAGCACCATGATCTTCATAGTAGAGAGTCTTTCATGTTATCACTTTCAGATACTAGTGGGAATTTTTCATTATAGAACTTGGCTTGTATATTCCAATGATGGGCTTCCTCAAAATTGCCCTAGGTCTTCATGAGCAAGCAAGTTGGACGCACACCCACTTAGTTTCTTTTTGACCTTTCATATACTTATAGCTCTAGTGCATCCGTTGCATGGCAATCCCTACTCACTCACATTGATATCTATCGATGGGAATCTCAATAGCCCGTTGATACGCCTAGTTAATGTGAGACTATCTTCCCCTTTTTGTCTTCTCCACAACCACCACTCTATTCCACCTATAGTGCTATATCCATGGCTCACGCTCATGTATTGCGTGAAGATTGAAAAGGTTTTGAGAATGTCAAAAGTATGAAACAATTTCTTGACTTGTCATCGGGGTTGTGCATGATTTAAATATTTTGTGTGGTGAAGATAGAGCATAGCCAGACTATATGATTTTGTAGGGATAACTTTCTTTAGCCATGTTATTTTGAGAAGACATAATTGCTTTGTTAGTATGCTTGAAGTATTATTATTTTCTATGTCAATATGAACTTTTGTCTTGAATCTTTCAGATCTGAATATTCATACCACAATTAAGAAGAATTACATTAAAATTATGCCAAGTAGCACTCCGCATCAAAAATTCTATCTTTATCATTAAAATTATGCTTAGCTTTGGGTTCAATCTTGCGATGTCCTTTCCCGGTGACAGTAAGGGCAGCAAAGCACGTATTATATTGTTGCCATCGAGGATAACAAGATGGGGTTTTCATCATATTGCATGAGTATATCCCTCTACATCATGTCATCTTGCTTAAGGCGTTACTCTGTTTTTAACTTAATACTTTAGATGCATGCTGGATAGTGGTCGATGAGTGGAGTAATAGTAGTAGATGCAGGCAAGAGTCGGTCTACTTGTCTCGGACATGATGCCTATATACATGATCATACCTAGATATTCTCATAACTATGCTCAATTCTGTCAATTGCTCAATAGTAATTTGTTCACCCACCGTAGAATACTTATGCTCTCGAGAGAAGCCACTAGTGAAACATATGGCCCCCGGGTCTATCTTTATCATATCAATCTCCTACTACTTAGTTGTTTACTTTGCTATTTACTTTGCCTTTATTTTACTTTGCATTTTTATCATAAAAATACCCAAAATATTATCTTATCATATCTATCAGATCTCACTCTCATAAGTGGCCCTATAGGGATTGCCAACCCCTATTTGCGTTGGTTGCGAGGATTTATTCGTTTTGTGAAGGTACGAGGGACTTGCGCGTAGCGTCCTACTGGATTGATACCTTGGTTCTCAAAAACTGAGGGAAATACTTACGGTACTTTGCTGCATCATCCCTTCCTCTTCGGGGAAAACCAACGCAGTGCTAAAAGAGGTAGCAAGAGGCTGAAGTGAGAAGTTAGAAAATATATTCATTGGTTCATTGGTATTGTTCAACCTCTGTTTGTATCAGAAATGGAATTACATGTGGTTGTAGTGGTATACGAAGTGTAGTTGAAAGATATATATCACGTTAAAACACAGGATATGACTGACCATGTCTGCAACTGGAATAGGCTGTATAAACTGTTGTTCAGTAGGCAACATTGACATTTGCAATGCAGCTGAGGGCTTTAAACACAGAGTTAAAGGAACATCAGGCAGGAAGACAGTTGAAAACATAAAATGCTTAGTAAAGCTAAGATTCAAGCCGTTGAATGGAATCAGCTTGTGCGTAGAAGTTCTTAGATGAAAATGGTGGCGCGTGTTTTCAATACACAAACAAAAAACTTGTTCAATTTTCTCAGCAGCATAACAAAAAATTTAAGCTAAATCATATGAGGTACATATCTGTACCATTTATATTTTTTAGAGGTTATACATACACATTTGTATCGAGCAATCAATAATCCTAGATAAACAGCAATGGATGTTTGATTATTCTGCAGCATTTTCTTTGTGTTCTATTCCAACACAACATAATGAGCCATCCCCTGTTTGTACACAACACAATGAGGCATCCCCTGTTTTTTAATTCTAGTCTAATATGAATTTAGGATATGTGTTAAGATAGATAAATATATTCACTAATTAGGAAGAACTAAGCAAAGAATAATTAAATTGCATGATGTAGAAGGTTCAGCCTGTACCTGTTGGTCGGGCTCTTCTATTGCCTGGGGTTGCTGGATTGGCTTACGAACATCACTGTTCTCTTTAAGAGATGCTAATTCCCTCTCTAACGAACCTAATTTTCTCTTTAGCTTGACTGTTTCATGCTCAAATATGTCTGACCATGACTTGGCTCTGACCACCTCTTTTTTGCACTTTTGAAGCTCAAGGAAATTCAGGTCATTGATAATTAGAATGCCTGCTTGCTGTATGTAATGTAGAGCAGCAACGCTCGCTGATTCATGAGCCGCGTTTGTTGTTTGGCAGTTGTGTCCAGCAAATATGGTTGTTTTAAACTGAGGAATATTTTCATGTGCTGGAACATGTATTTCAACAATGGCAAAGAAACTGTCATCATCTTTGTCATAGTGTACTGATTGGCTTGCCATAACTCTAAGGGCATTTACGGATAACTGCAGCATGTGCTTCCTGCTGACGGTGACCAGTGTTGCAACAAGTTGTGGAATGAGTAGTTAACAATGAACATGATTCCTCGGAGATGCTGCAGAGACGAGTAGGTGGCAACAACAGGTTATGTCAGGCGATCTTACCTTTGGGAGCAGATGCACAAATAAGTTGTCATCCATGGCGAGAAGGATTTGACCTTGCAGCGATAAGTGTTTAGCGAGGTTGGAAGGCAGTTGCTCACATACATTGGGCCATCAGGCTATAAGCAGGAGCAGGTAATTTTAGCCAATTGGCATAAGGTGAGACGGTATGAGCATCTAATAATAAAGCGCACAACAGTAAACATCTATAATGGAAACTCTGTGTGAAAGAAAGATGATCTATAATAATAGCTAAGGATATGTTCTTTATGTATTTATCGTAGTGACAAAATATTCTAGTTACTTTATCTTTAGCCTAAATCACATAGTCTATAAGGTATAGGTGCATTTAGGATGTATAATTGCCGACAATTTATAACATTTCTTCTGACAGAGGTGGTGGGCTCTGGTGTGATTTTCGCAGATCTGTGTTATTTTTTCTTTGTGGGATGATGTCATTAGGTGGCAGCGTGTGTTATTATAAACCACAGATGAGACTGCTCAAAGGAAAGAGTTGGTAGAAGAGGCATGCACAGACTTCGTTTGAAGCCGCCGCTTGCTCCTTGGATTCTGAAGGCATAACGTGGCATAATTATTCAGTTAGCACACACAACTATGTAACTAAATCTAAAAAAACGTGGCATAACGCTGAGATAAACTTGGAAGCATAAGAATGCTATTAGAGATCCAAGAATGCTATTAGACATATGATTTAAACACAGCAGAGCGTAGCGAAACAAATAAATAAAGCATGAACATCTAGCAGTAGATTTGGCATAATGGAGAGTGGCATGGTTCGATAGGACATATTACATCATTAGGTTCACATACACACATATATCATTAAGGCTCAACAGATAGCTTCGGAAGAACCGACTGTGCCATGGTGCGATAGGATATATATTACATATGGCTATAGATAACTATATTAGTAGGGAGCAACAGCTAGCTCTAATGATGATAGCAGTGATCTGAAGATTCTTGCAAGGCTGTTAGAAGTTATCTTCAGGTACGACACATAAATCATTAGAGCATTCCTTCATTGTCGAAGATCTGCTCATCATCAAGTGAGGTTGGCAGGTCCTCATCGTCGTCTGTTAACTGCTCCTGGCCATAAGGATATACACACCAGTTTCTTGAAGGTTGACCATGGCCTCATCAGTGTACTGCTGAAGGTATTCACAACTGGCCTATACATTGAGAAGAACATTATTGAGCTCCAGGTCATCTGGAGTAGACCCTGGGCTTAGCCTGCTGTTGACCAGATGGTTAAGGTTGTTGATGATGGTCTGTTCCGTGCTCAAGGATCCATCCCATCCTTTGCTGAGGAGCTTGTTTATGCCAAGGCTCTCTTTCAGCTTTTGTTTCAGAGATGCATTGTCCCTCTTCATTGCCTTAAGCTGCTGACCCAATAGTATATTTGCCTTTTCCACAGTCCGTAGTTGATCATAATGGTAATCTTTTGGAACCGCACCCTCGTAAGCATCCATGTACTTAATTGCTGCAGCAGCCACATAATCCTGAGCTTCTGCTAGATCCTGGTGCTGTGAGGTAGACATTGAAACTTTGACAGGTGACCTCCCGAGCTTGCTCTTGATTGGGTAAAAGGTAATGGTGACCTCCAGACGCGTGCCCTCTGTTGGGAACGCCGAGTAGGTGGCCGCTGGAAGGCCAACCTTCTCTAACATAGCATCAAGCAGAAGAACAGAAGCCATTGCTGGGACCTGCCGCAAGCAAGACAAAACGTCACTGCAGAAAAATCTGGCTCTAAGTATAGTATCACCTGCAGGTCTATATGGGTAGGAAGAAGAAGGGAAAACGGTGGGCGAGGAGTTGTTTCTTCGGGTTGGATTTTGCGATGAGAAGAGTGATTCTAAGTAGATACAGATGCCCAGGGTCAATTTTCTATAGGTGCATCATGCATTGGTGCCTCAAAAGCAGTCACACGCTGAAGAAAAGTGGGACGGAATAGGACTTTACCTGCCGAGAAAGACGACGTTCAGCAGTGGGAGAAGGGGCGCTGGTCAGGTCGGCAAAGAAATCGTGGATCTAGAACAAGCACGAGGGAAAAGGCATGAGAAGGGATCAAAGGGAAGTAAAACACAACGGTGCGGAAGGAACACCGTCGGGAAGAGTCAATTGGCAGCAGCCTTCGTGGCTTCCATGTTGAGCTTGGCGTCGATGCTGCCGCAGGCTAGATCTGAGTAGGCGATGAGGAAGAGTGTGAGGAGATGGATGGATAAGACGAGAGGAGAAGGAGAGGATAAGGGCGTCTCGCCTGGTCGGGGGCTCGGGGGTGAGAGTTACCGCCATCGGGCCATAGGTAGGCTGCGGCTGGGCCGCATAGTTTTTTGATGGCCCATGTATCATTTAGTCAGCCCACGAGTAGCGACGCTTGTGGCCCATGAGGAGCCGAATATGAAGCGGTAGCGAACGGCTCCACCGAATCTTTTTCCTTTGTCCCTTTCTTCGTTTATTATTATTTTCCTTGTTTTTAATTTTCTTCTATTGTTTTCTTCTACTTAAGCCTGCGTAAGATATATAGTTAGGTTGAGCATGTAGGATTTATGAGTGTGATAGGAACGAGACTACCATTGTAATTGCACATACCTGGGCCTAGAGATGCAACGGCCGAGGAAAAGCCGGGTGTGTGTAGGGTCGGTACAATTTATTTGGGCATTTTCAACAGTAGTAGGCTCATGAGCGCCTAAACCGTAGGATTAAATATCAAGTATGTTTACCATGCGAGGATGGACTTCAAAACAGGACACGCTACAGTGAAATTGTACGTACGTTACGTAGCCTGGCTAAATAAATATTTGTAGTAAATTAAAATAGCCATGAGGTACAGAGGGCACACCAACAAAGGGTTAATAACGATATCCATAGAGCATGAAAATAGCCTAGTTCAGATCATAAATAAGGAAATGTATGATTGGGGGTTGCCAAACACTTGGTTTGGAAACATGCGACAAACATAGTAACAGGCTATTCTGGGCACTTGGCCAATCGTGTGAAAACAGCAATGGCAAAGCAATTTTCACTTGTCTTTGTGGACAGGGCTTTAGTTATTAGATCCAAAGCAGCGAAGTGCAGCCTCCATGGCATTATCATGTGCAATCGCAAGAGCATCATCATCAACATTAGTGGACGCAGATCCCTGTGACATGGGCAGCTTAATTATTAGGAATTCCGAAAGAAGAAACCATGGAAAAGAAAGAAGAATCTAAATTTGGTAGAAATACTAATAGCAGATGAAAGAGAGGATTTAGTGAAGTTGGTGTTATGACCTGCCCATAATCTTTTTCAGCCAAACAAGGACATGTGCATGGGGCAGAGTCCTCTTCTGGAAGTCCACGCAGTGGAGGACTGGAAAACAAGACGACAAGTGCAGAACAGGGAAATTAAGATGCATGGAGAAGAAAAAGTTAAGGAAACCAAGGGAAGACACTGGCTACATTACCAGTAACTACAGGCCCAAACACCTGTCCGGTCTTAATTTTTTCCACGTATTCAAGGAGTTTCAGTTGATACACTTGAGCAGTAAAATCAGCCTCATCGACTGCTTGTTGTCCATGCTCAAGACCCTGAACTATCTCAGGCCAGTTTGGATCATACGTGAAGTCTGTGAATATATCAAGTAAGCCATGGACACGTGAAACAGCGACAGCATCATGGAAGTTTTCAGTCATGTAGCGAAGTTTGCCCGCATAAGATACTGGCATTATATTTTTCTTATTGACCTCAGACTTGGTAACTCTATCAAATCCATTAGCATCAGCAACATATTGGTGATTTTCAGTGTTCATGTTGTCCTGAAGATTTTTACAGGATGTTAGTTGAGAAGTGAGAATATCATGCAGTGGTGTAATGGTGTTTCATCGAAGGCAGGAAAGCACATACACGAGGTAAATAGCAAGCAGAGACGACATGATAGCAAGCAATCTATGGTTAATATAAGCAGATGAATCTTCTATATGTATAGATGGATGAAGCAAAATGTGCGGTGCTTGGTGAGTAACAGTCGATTCAGTAGCTGGTATATGTAATTTTATGAGCAAGAACAAGGCAGGAAAATAAAGAATTTGTTGCAGTATAGGAAAACCATGAACTCGAGCGGAGTGCTTTGTTCACCTAGACAAAGTCAAGGGTAAATATCAGACTATTTGACTGAGCCAGTGAATAAACAGGGATTTCTCTCATTTTCATATGACGTTCATAATCTTCAATGTAACGAGGGCAAGCACAGGCGCATTAAACGGTGGAGCGAGATAAGTTGAATCTGAGATCTACAAAAATACCTCTGCAGGCAGAACGGACGGGGCAGCAAGCGGTAGAAATCGTCGTCAAGGAAGACAGAAGGGCGGACGAAAGTCTGCAGATTGAAACAAACTGTAAATTTCCAGGGAAGTAAGGAGGCCTAGAAATCTGGTGCTACAATGGTAAGAGAGCATTGAAGAAGGGATGAACTCACCCGAAGCAGAGAGGATTAGGTTTCGGTTGGTCTGAAGGAGAGGATAAGGCAGAAGGAGTGGACCTGGCAAAAAAGGATGTATTTGTCATGAGGTTCTTAGCCCATGAAATAATGGGCCTGCATATGGGCTGGCGGGTGGAACCTTTATATATGCTGAAGTTTATGTACGTGCCATTTTTTTTGTGGGTGTGAGCGAAGGTGTGCTTGCAGAGTGTGAAAATAGACGTGATTTATTATAGGGTTAATAATTAGTTTTATAGGACACGTATTATATCGCAAGGCTAAACTAATAGAAGTATCCGTTGTATACAGAACATACTATGTGTGTGGAAATAGTGGACATAAAAATATAAGTTTTCAAAAATGTTAATCATGGATTTAAAAAAAATTAAACATGTATATAAAAAAATGTCCCAGATGTAGAAAAAAATTCAATGTGTATGGAAAAAGCAGCATAAAAAATATATGTGTTAGAAATTAGTAGTCATGTATATGAAAAAAATAAGTGTATATATTAAAAATTCCTATTGCAAAAAAGTGTATAATTTTCATGAAAAGTTATACATCAAAAAATATAAGTTCAAAAGTATGTTAATCATGTACTTGCCAAAAATTAACGTGTATACAGAAATATTCCTGATGAATACAAAATATGTACAATGTGTATGAAAAACGTAGACATGAAAAAAAATTCAGACTTTTTAATCATTTGTTTGAAATAAAATAAAATGTGTATATATATAAATGTTCCTGGTATATAAAAAAATGTACAAGGAAAACCAACGAAAAACAAAAGGCACAACAAAGAAACAAAGATAAATTGAACAAAACCGAAGAAAGAAAGAAAGGGAATCAAAAACCAAGTAATAATTAAATAAATACAAAGAACTGAACTGCCTATTTTTTATTTGGGCGGTATGAAGGCAGTAAGAACGTTAATAAAGACTGTGAAGATAACATGTGAAAAACAAAACATTTCCTCAGTAATGAATAATCAGGTGGATCACCATTCTGTAATTTCTACTGCAGTAGGCATATATCAGTTATATATTAGGAAAAAATACTTAGATTGGAAGGGTTCAAAGAAGTGTAATTAAAATCCAGTATCGCGCATGTGAATTTTAAACAACACAACATCTGTTTTGCGAAATGGGCTGGTTAATTAAAAAGAAAGATTGATAAGGAAGAGTTATCCTTAGGAGGACAGCTCTGGAGTGGCATAGCCAGAACATAAAAAGAAAAGGTACGCAAGGGAGAAGTAGTTGGCAGCAAGCGACAGATTGCATGGCGCAAAAGCGTAGACATAGTAGTCTGACTTATACTTATTTACAGAAACACCTAAATAATGAAGGTTGCCCAGTTCAGGTAGATATGTCAGCACTGTGATCTCAGCTCCTGAAGCATGGTGTTATTAGTTGATAATAATTCTTTCATGGTACAACTGCAGAGGAACCTGAAGATCTTGAACAGGTGACTGCTCCACTGTTAATCCATTTGGAGCAGCCCAAATAGATATGACCTCTAGAATATCTTTGTTTTCATTTGTCCACATGGCACAATCATAGAACCAAACATCAGGAGAATCATCAACTTGATGGCTGCTGTTTTCTAACATGTAGTGAGGGCTCATGATGTCTGCAATTATAGCCGGTCTGTAAAACTCAGTTGTCAGCCCTGTAATTCTTATTTGTTCTTTTTGAGAGAGGCTAGAAGATACTGCTCCAGCAGACGTGGACCATTTCTGAACTAAGAATGCACCACAAGGTAGCTGGATTCCAGCAGCATCAGTACACAACATGTGAAACAAAGTTGTAGTTACTAACCCTTGGAAATATATAAGGTATTTGAACCTACCAACTTGCTTGACTATGACTTTTCCAGGACATTCAATCTGCATTTGCTGCAAACAACGTGTTAACTTATCCTCTGTGATAATTTTTCCCTCGTCGCAAGACGTCAGGAGGAATGATGATTCCAATATCCGCATTTGGTCAGCTGGTATGTCAACATCATTTAAATATGAATGGGAAACCATTCCTTTCTTTAGTGCCTGCAAGAAAGAAGGAATCCTCCTGTGTGTTCTTTGAAGAGACTTGTTATGATGAGCTCCAATATTAATTCTGTCAACACCAATACAAAATGTCTCTCTGTTCTTGTGGCCACTACTTTGGTTTCTTCCTTTGTCATACTTGCTAGAGACATGAACGAGTATGTACCATGGGAATGGCACAACAATTCTAACAGCCCATGCCGTGCAATTTACCGATCGAAGCTTGTGAAAGTTGAGATTGGCTTGACTAACATTCTCAACAATGCAATGTGGCTGCAGGGCACACTCAATTGCTCTTCTAGTCCAAAGATGTAACGGCAAACCATATATCTTTACCTTTAGATGTTCAGTTGCCGTCTCCATCATTTCCTCAATCTGAAAATCGTATAGTATTGCTTCCATTGGCACACCAACATTTTTCACAGGGTAACATAGAACTTCAGTCCCATCTAGTGCCATGGTCACTCCACTGGACAGAACCGCACATGCATAAGCTGTGGTTGCCTCATTCATTAAATCTAGCACCAACCAGGATTTGTTTTCATATGGAGCATACAGATGGTTGATATGGCAGATGAATATGTTTAGAAATGAGTGGCGTGACGTGGTGCTCATCCATAGGCAATCCATCCCACCGTGCTATTATGTAGTGGGAACACAGCTCCAGAACCTCTCTGGTCTTGTGTTCTACTGCGCTTATAAAACCTTGTGAGGAAGAAATACCATCAATCATGCATCTCTTTGTTAACATCCACTCTCTTAATTGATCGGCCGTGGTAGCAATAAGTGTGTTAGGAAGTTAGAAAGATAAAAAGATATGTATGCCTGCTCAAATGGCACTTGGTGTAGCATTAGTAAATTCATACACCTGTGGGTAGGTCGAAAGGCCAGGATTTGTTCTTCTTCATGAGATGCCCTCTGGTAACACCGAATCGATGGGTGAAGAGGGTTGTTTTTGATCTGTTGATGAACAAGGAGAATTGAGTAAAAAGGGCAAATAGTTATCTGTATATTACGCTAGCAAATGTTCATTGATTTGATCTTGGAAGATTAAAGAAAATGAATGTATGTTCGTAGCGAAGATATTGAAAGGAAGAATCACAGCGGATAAAACCAAAGGCGTAGCACATATAAATAACACTGCCTTAACATGAGGACATAGACTTTATACTTATACATGTCCAGATTGAAGTTCAGAAAGGATAAAGATTTCTAGGCCGAAGCTATGAGTAGACAGCTTCGCATCTTATTTAAGCAACCTAGGAGACTAAATACAACAAACACAGAGCCGCTTCCTAGCGATGAAGCCATACATATACAGCTTCACATGGCAACGAGACAGTTCAGCAGGCTCAATATGACGCTCATGGCGATGGGACATAGTCATCATCCAGGTGTTGATGAATATCATCGGCTGAATCTTCATCTAAGTGACCACTGTAGCTTTGTTCAGGCACTTCATCATCTGAGTACATGCCTTTTTCCTCTAGGAACCGAGATGTCGTAGTTGTAGAGCTTTGAAGCACGACAATTGAACTGTGAATCTCCATGATAGCTTGCTTCATATTAGAAACACACATTGAGGTAGCAGGGTCCAAGAAAACGGCAGCAAGGTCTTGTATTCTGTTTGATGCATTGCGCACTTGTTCCACATAGTTGCATGCTTCTTTAGTTATCTGCTTGATGGTTTTGATGTGCTGGTTGATTTCATCTGACTGTTCTGGCAACCTGGTTGATAATCTTGTATGTGCCATTTTCATTTGCTCTAGCTGATAATAGTTATAGTCCACAAGCACCTTACCCTCTCTGTTCTGCATGTATTCGATGGCCTTATCGAGTGCATGATTCATTGATGCTACCCCATTCTGACATGTACGGCTTGATACTTTAGTCCGGCGCGCTGAAGCATCGTACCGTGCTTTTGTGCGGTGAAATTGAATCTCTGTTCTAAATCGATCTTGTGAAAGATGATGCACAAAATACACTGGTTTAGGAAGACCGAGTTTCTCGAACATTGCTTCAGCCAGTGATGTGCTGGATAGCTCAACCGACTCCATGAGAATAGATCCACAAGATAAACCCAGAGGGCTGGCAGAAGGTATAAACACAGCGTCCATTAAGAACAGTAAGCACTGAGCTTTAGATTATATATATGCACTAACAATTAAAGAACTTTGTACCGAACCTATGGAAAAATGAAACTTTAATATCATGAGGACATCGGGAGAGCCAAGCATGTACCAGGACAGGAAACGAAACCTATCAGACCATTCCTCCAACCGATTTTATGTGGATAAGAAAATAATAATAAAGCATTTATACGGGCAGTGTATTGTAAAGCAGGAGTATGGCTGGAGCTAAAATATAAGGATATACCTTGGTAATTAGATTTGTCCTGGGTGGAGGATCTTGTTGCCCTTGGTGAGCATCAGAACGGATGAGCGGATCTAAGATGCAAGAAATCAAAACGAGTCAGAGAGAGAGAGAGAGAGAGAGAGAGAGAGGGATGGGGATTTCTCCATCCAGCAACACCACGGGGGAATGAGAAGGAGGGAGCGAGAGGTTTCCATGAGGATTACCTGCAAGTTGGCTGGCTGGGAGCTCCTCTGCTTGCGGGGGATCCAGGCGACCGCGGGTACAGTGCAGGTAGAGAGCAGACGAGGGTGAGCGGACGGATTTTTTTTCAAAACTATGACGTATTTTGTAGCAATTTCGGAAACTATAGCACATAATGAAAAAAATGCAAAACTAGGACCCTGTGCCACGTGCGGGCCGAAAAGGTAGTTTTCGGCCAACTGTTGGCCGAAGTAGGGTTTTCGGCCTTGCCATGGCCGAAAAGTGGTTGAGCTGGCCGAAATGGCTGTTTTCGGCTGCTGTTTGGCCCAAAAGGTTTTTTTGGTCAAATGTAGGCCGAAAAGTACTTTTTGGTCTATACTAGGCCGAAAAGTACTTTTTGGTCTAGTGTAGGCCGAAAAGTTCCTTGGGCCCACCTTTCCGTTATCTGTTGGGCAAGACTTCTACATCCTCGAAGGGCAATAGTTCTGCATCGACGGATGGCAAAAGGACCACATCGTCGAAGGGCAAGAGGGTTGCATCAACGAAGGGGTTGGCGGGACAATACATTGGCCAACAGTTAACGGAAAAAGGTGGTCCAAGGGACTTTTCGGCCTAAACTTGACCAAAAAGTACTTTTCAGCCTACGATTGACCAACAAGTATTTTTCGGCCTACACTAGGCCAAAAAGTCCTTTTCGACCAAAGGGTGGCCGAAAACACCCCTCTTCGGCCAGCTTTGCACCTTGGCCGAAAACCCTATTTCGGCCTAGAGGTGGCCGAAAACACCCTTTTCGGCCAACACCTGGCCGACAGGGTGCTAGACTTGATATTTCTCCAAAGCATGCTGTAGTTTCCGAATTTGCTTCAAATAATGTGATAGTTTTGAAAAAAAATCGAGCAGACGTGGGTGAGCAGATGTGGGAAGGAGATAAGAACGGGGCAGCAGACATAACTATTTTTTTAGAGCAACATGATAAGGTTGGGTGGATGTGGCAGGCTAGAAGAAGGGCCTCGGTTATGGTTCGATAGAAATGCCATTGGGCCATAGAGTAATATTAGACAATATTGCAATATATTGGTATTATAAAGTATAAGGATAAGGACGGATAATATTTTACATTATAATATATGTAGTGCATATTTTAAATATAGTTGAAAATAGTTATTAGTTATAAAAATATTTTGTAGAATGTAAGGATGATATAATAGATTAAGATTATATAATTTTGCATGTTACTATAATGAGTAGAATAATTAAATAAAGTGTATATTTGTTTGATGTTTAAATACGGTAATCGCTGTATTGTGATAAAATAATAAGAGGTATAAATAATCTATCTACTATACGGATATAAAAATGTTAATAATAAGTTTTTCTCATAATTTATTATAAGTTTATAGTATATAAATATAATTGTAAAAAATCCTTGCAGGGCGTGAACATGAATTCTATGCTCATGTTGTGAGGTAACTAATATTGATCTTATTAAAGGAGTGAGGACTTAAAAATTAGCACCGTATTTGATGTGACCATATATAAACCTACAACCTCTGATACAGCACAAGGCGGAGCTTGTGCGCTCAAGGTAGGGTCGGACATGGATGAGGAGAAACTACAAGAGCTTCTCCTTCTTTGGGACGGAGCAACTCCATGTGCTACGCCCGTGGTTTCCAACATGGAAAAGCAGAGCGTGGAGCATAGCCAGGCTCAAAGGCGAACCCACCACCTTGCTCGGAGGTTTAGTTAGTTCAACGGAATGAGTGGTTAGCTATGTAGGTGATCCTAAGGGTGTGCACTCTTGCAATTAATACATTGTAAGAATGGTATGCGAACGGGGCTCTTTTCCCCACTCCTTTAATATATGATTTTGATTCCAGGGAAAAACAAATGAACAACAGAAATCAAGCTTTGTGAAGGACCGGGACACGAGAGGCAGCGAGCATATGGATCTACTTAAATCTAAATAGGAAGGATGACCTGCATAAGTGCTCGAAAAAACACCTGGTAGCAGGTAATAACCCGTCAAGGACACAAGGAAAATGAAGTAAGGATGATACTATCGGTTCTAAAAATTAAGATTTCATAGCTTTTAATCCCTAATGCTTGTACTAACAGAGAGAGAAGAGGAAAACAAGACTTGAATGATGCAGTGTTGCAGTCAATCAACTGGAAAAAATTAGTATGTCTGGCAATGTGAGATAAACCAGTAAAGGAGAACCATTTTTAGATCATCAAGCCCAGCAGTAAATGAAAAGCACAAGCAAACACACATAATATAGTAACAACGGTAAGATCTAGATAAAGCAGGATATCCTAGCTGTATTTATAGAGAGCAGAAATTGTCATGCGAAGGAGGATAATGTAGGAAGGGATAAAGGTGATATTTACAATGCATAGTAGCTGGTCTTTTTAACGGCTTAGATAGAGGAATTGTTACGGCAGTGGCTTGACATACGTCTGTAGCTGTCAAAGCCCTGCCTTACAAAGACACACAAAATATATTAAGTGCATGTCCAAAAGTGTGCTGAGTTGACGACCTTCAAATCTGCTATCTAGATCGTTCTTGTGGTGCAGCAAAGTCGAAATCTCTCGTCAGCGACACAACCATCCAGCGGTAAACGTAGCTTGATAAGCAGATAGAACACAGAAGTAGCCCTGAGGAGAACAAAAAGCACAAGCATTGTATGATTACATATCATCTAGCATGGTAACAGCAAAAAGCGAACGGAAAGCACGCTAGTCATACCGTATGTACATATCTAGTGCAGTTCATGGAAGAACTACTGTCTTGCCTTCTTTGAAGCGCTACTCCCCTTTGCAGCAGGGTTTGCCCTGAGTTTTGTCCATTGGCAAAGCGAGGAGGCGTGTTAGCAAGTCCAATTGCATCGAAAAGGACCCAAAGACATGGAATGTAATAAAAACAACAAGGTCATAAAGATTAAGCAGATGAAATGGACGATGCCATAAACAAGCAGAAAGGAAACCAAACGCTAACACACAGCTAATTCCACTGTATGGTTAATCAACTCGAGTTCATGAATCAAGTTATCTTGCATGGGACAAGGAAAATGGCATGTGCATGTAGTAATATAAAGTAAGGAGAATGAAGTCACATTCTATGCTAAAGGCACTGAATATAACAATTATGAATTTTAACCTTTTGGTTATAGACTGGACAACAAGAACGCCCTTTGAATCCTCAGCAGCTGCAGCTTCGGTTTCCTCGCCAATCTGTTTAGTTTAGCAGCATTAAATTCTATTGAAAATGAAGCTTTGTCTATACATAAGCAGAAACATATTTGCATAGTAAAAATGTCCACGAACATTTGTCACGGATGTAGGCTGAACAGCTTTTCCAGCAGAAGCATCGCCTTCAGCCTGGGGATCTACATTTGTAGTTGAGTCAGATAGGGTGGCGTCCTGAGACAGCGGTGGTCCAACAAGGAGCTTGCGGCGAGCGTTCTTAGGACACGGTGATTTGCTGTAAAAAAATAGTTATTTGCAAGAGAACACACTGAATTTTCAATATGCATGACATGGCAAAGACAATGACAATACCTTGGTGTTTTAGGCTTTATACCATGTCCTTTCCTTTGAACACAGATATAGGAGTGTTCATCTGCCAAACAAATAGTTCAGGAGTCAAACGACTGAAAGGAAATTTGAGAAAGAGAATCAATAGCAGATATACCTCATTGGGAGGCAACATGACAAGCGTAGACGATCCTATAGGGTAAGAAGTGAGGATAGGCACGGTCGTGCCTGAGCTATCAGCAGAAGATGATGCGCCAGGTGCATGTGACGCACCAGCAATTCCCAAGAGAACAAGATCAGGTTTAAAGGCTTCAGCAATCCTGCTAACTTGAAAGGACAGCTGGGTGCTTGAAGGCTGGAAGCTCTTCGTGGAGATAGTGACGACAAGGGTAAACTTCCGGGTAACAAGACGGGAAATTTCAACAGGCAAGCCTACATCAGCACCTCCTATCTCGGCAAGTTCAAGTGCACTTGTAAAACCTGGGTACTTGCGGTAGATCAAAGTCATGAGTGGCCTGCCAACAACACTCTTTGCAGCCCTATCAAAGAACATAAATTCTGCCTCATCTGCACCATCGCTTCCGAAGGTGCATAGACAGTACCTAGACATTGCAAGGCAAACGGATTGAGAAATAATTTATCAGATAAACCAGAACAGAAGCTCTCGTGGGAAAAGCACTCATGAAGGATCTGCTGCGACAGAAGAGCACGTGTTGTCTGAGCATCGATAATGTCTGTCGCAGGTATATGTTGTTTTATGGCAGTCCTTGCATGAGAGAAACCACCAGCGATTGTCGACGCCCAGACCTATAATATTAACCTTGACCATGAACTTTTTTTCTGCGTTGATGAGAAACACAAGCGCAGTGAGAAGCAAGTAAAAAACATAGCAGGAACATCACAGGGGAAATGAAGAGAAGGAGAGAATACCATATTATCAAACGGGTCAAGAGAAAGCAGCTCCCGAACGCTCATCTCAACAGGAGGTTCACGAACAGGCGTCACAACCACTGCCTATTCTCTTAGG